TCTGTGGGCGACTGGCCGGGCTGCACCCGCAGCTTGATCACCTGGTGTTCCCCCTGGGGCATGAGCGACGTCCAACAGCTGCACCTGGGTGGCGTCAAGTTCGACGCCTGCCTGTTCATCGGCGAGCAGTGGGAGGAAGCTCGCATCATATTGTTCGCGTTGGGTGGCTGGGCCAGGACGGGGCGCTCGACGACCATGCCATGGACGTCCCCGAGGGCGCCGCCAACGTCACCGAGGGCGGTTCACCAGCAGCCCTGTTGGTCATGCCAGTAGAGGCCGACAGCGACTTCTCTGGACGCATCCAGCAGGTGATGTTGGCCGCCTGGCAAGATTTCGAGGGGGCAGAGGATCTGACTCAGGAGCTGCAGGAGCTGGAGAGCGCCAACAGTTAGCAACATATTTCAGCTGCCAACGAACACGCCGCGGCAAGCCTTGGCCGCATGCCTGCCGAAGGAAGTCGCCGAAGCCGTCCTCGAGGAGCTTGCCATCTGGGTCAAATACACACGTTTCGAGAGGCGCCCCCTGGAATTCGCCCGAAACGCCGCAGGCCCCAGACGTGTTTTCAAGCGTGATCTCTGGAGGGACCGGGCGGCGCTGCCGCCGGGATCATCCGGCGCCGCGCAGCGCTGAGAAGCTTCCGCGACATGGGCGCCGGAGAACTCGAGACGTTCTGCGGGGCTGCGGAGCGGGCGCCGCAGCTCGCGTTGTTCTCGCGGGCGGCGCGTTGCCCAGGCTGGGCGCGCGTCGCTGTCGACGCTGAGAAGGCGCATCTGCAGGTCATGGCGGCCCCCGCTGAACTGCGAGAGCTGGGCGAAGCACTCCGCGAGGTGAACTTCGCCCCGCCGCCCGGCAGCGCAGCTGTCCTTCGGCAGGCGCCAGGCTGCAAGCCCTTCGACGAGCGGACCGAGCGGCTCGCGCCTGCGCTGCATCATGTCGGGCACGGGATGCAAGGTTGCGCGGCTGGGGGCGCGCTTTCAGCAGGGCGCAGCGCCATGCCGACGAGGTGGGGCCGGGAGCGACATGTCAAGCACGAGACGTCTGGTGCCTAGGCTCAGGCATAGTGTTCGCGCTGCCCAAGCGCGTTGACCATTTGAAAAACGCCAGGCGCAAGGGTCACGCTGAGCATCTTCCGCAGGATGAAGGGGGACTGCGACGACTTCACCAGCGGCGGAGTATACCAACACCGCAGTGCCGACGGAACAGTGACGCTCGAGCAGGACGGCTACATCGACGCCCGGATCCCCATCGGGCACGTCGGCCTGACCAAGGTGAAGGCCAACGAAGCGGTACGAGGTCAGCTTCCAGACCTCTTTGTCTCCCTCCTCGGAGCAGCAGCGTGCGCTCTTCTCGCGCAACACCAGTCGCCGCGTGCGTCGCCGTGCTGCAGAGGGCCAAGAACAAGCTGTTCATCCGTCGCGCGACGCAGCTCATGTCCGGAGTTCTGGCCACGCAGAAGAGCAAGGCGCGCATCACCTTCCCAGCGATGGAGTGCGCCAGACGACTGTGCGCACACAGCGACGGTCGTTCAAGCGGGAGGAGGAGACCGGGTGCGGCATGAGAGGAGCCGTGTACATCCGCATGGGGAAGTGCCGCAGTACCAGCAACACAGATATTCCATGTGCTTCACGCCATGGGCCGATCGCGCAAATCCGCGCGCCGATCATCCACTGGCACACGAGTTGCCCGCAGCCTGCGGCGCAGCTGACGGACTGCAAGCGCACCTCCTGGCGCCCCACGAGATGGTACGTGGACCTGCTTCAGCCGAGGAGATCAGGAGGCCGAGGGGGGAAGAAGGTTACGCTGTGCTGGCCCAACCCGTTGTCGACGGCATGTCTGCGTTCGACTTCCATCGGGAAACAGCGTGGCCGGCCATCCTTGGCGGCTGTCAGACCAGCTCCGCATTTAACAGATCGAACACATCCTGTCGTGCGATACCAGAGACATGAGAGCCGGCACCATGACGAAGGGGAGCGTCGGCCGAAAACTCACGTTGATCTTCATGGGCGGCAAGCTCAGCTACGACCAGAGCGCGATCAAGCAGAGCGGGGAAAAAACATGAGAAGACCGTGCCAAATTCACAACGCAGCTACCTTACCAGCAAGGAGAAGGGCGGAACGAATGGTTGATTCATCCGGCGTCGCAGAACCCGGGCCATGTTCGCGAACGCGACGTTTGACTGGCATGCCGCCCAACCGTGCGGGCAATCAGGACAGATATGAAGCGCGTGGTAGAGCATGCAAGTGAAAGGATTGCTGCTCCCGCCAATTGTATTAGCGGAGTGGTAGACGCGGTGGCAGTTGAGCATGCTAAGTGAGTGTTGCGTCCGTCCAGTCTGTGGATGGAGCGGCAGTGCTCCTTGAAGACCGCGTTCCGTCTAATCGTCTACTGCCCTCCGTCTTTTTATGACGGGGGTGGTTAGTAGAACCCCCTGCTTTGCACCTTTGTTTGTGTGGAAGTGTTTAGTCTAGCCAGTCCGTTGTGTTTCTTGGCTTCCCGCGTAATATGTACCTGGGAAGCCACCGAGGCATGATGGACCCGTTTGAGCACCAGGTTCGGACGGCAGGTCAGCAGTGATTGTTGGAAGTGGGAAGGGACCTGTCCGCCGCTTGTTGTGGCTCAAGGTGTTGTGGTTCAAGGTCGACTTGCCCACGCTCGCTCTTAGATTCGCTCTACATCCGTTTTACGATTCATTGCGTAGTGAGAGGTATCATGTTCATCATCCGCTTTACATGTCGAGTTGCCCCCTTCATCTCCACATCCCTCCTCCTCACCCCCTCCCCCCTACATTATCCTCCTCATCTTTCTCATGTTCCGTGTTCCCGCCCTCTCCCCATATTTTCCTCGTTCGTCCTCCCTCGTCATCCCTCCTCCTCGTCATCCCTCCTCCTTCTCCTCCTCGTCTTACGTTTCCCTTTCCTCCTCTTGCTTCTCTTCCTCTTCCTCCTCCTCCTCCTCCTCCTCCTCCTCCTCCTCCTCCTCCTCCTCCTCATCCTCTGATTCCTTTCATTATTGAATCGCTTCGCTCATTCCGCCGGCCCATAGTGTAGCGTCGCTGGCACTTGCTTGCGTGCTCGGGGGGGCATTTGGGTGGCTTCCTGGGGCCGTTTGGGGGCCTCCTGGGGGCCTCCTGAGGGCCTGTTGGGGGCCTCTTGGGGCCTCTTAGGGGCCTCTGGGGGCCTCCTGGGGATTTCTGAGGGCCGAGGGCTCGAAATATTGTTTCGTGTTCCCCCCCTGGGGTCCCTCTTGGGGCGTTTTTGGGGCCCTCTTGGGCCGTCTTGGAGCCCTCTTGGGCCGTCTTGGGGCCCTCTTGGGGGCCTCTTGGGCCCTCTTGGGGCGGTCTTGGGGTCCTCTTGGGGCGGTCTTGGGGGCCTCTTGGGCCGTCTTGGGGTGTCGTGAAGCCGAAAAGGTGGAAACGCCAAAATCTCTCCAAAACCTAAGGACAAACAGTGAATTTTGCCTCTTGGGGCCCTCTCGGGAGTGCTCTTGGAGGCCTCTTGGGGCGTCTGGGGGCCATCGTGGGCGTCTTGGAGCGTTCTTGTGGCATCTCGGACCCCTCATGTAGCATCTTGGGGGCCTCTTGGAAGCCTCTTGGCCCTTCTTGGGGCTCTCGGGGACGTGTCGGAGCCGCGTTGGTGCGCTGCTGGAGCGCCCTGGTGACTCCTCCCGGGACTCTCGGGACCTTGCCGGGGTATTTTCCGCCCGGGGGCCCCCAGGGGCCGCCCCGCGCGCGCGAAGTAGAAAGATTGTAAAGCAGTCACCGGAGATCTTAGCACGCCTCTGGCCCGTTGGGCCGGCGAATTCCGTCACTTTCTCTGTTGGCACGTGGGCCTGTGCAGTTGTTGTGCCCGTGTGCGCGCGGCGCCTGTTCTGTTGGCACTTGCGGAACGAGGAGGGCACGGCCTGGTGCGCGTCCTCGGCCCCGCACCTGCAGGGTGCATCCTTGGCACATGCCAGGAGAGGGAGAGCGAGAAGGAGAGGATGAGGACGGACAAGGAGGGGGCTGATGAGGATAACCTATGCAAACCCAGGACGCATCAACGATGCTAGCAAGCCGTCCGCCTTTCAAGTCCCCTCCTCTTAGGTCCCCACAAGAACAGGTGCCCGTTGCGCCCAACCGTTGGAAACAACCGTCCAGCAGTCCTCAGTTTGATTGTTTCGCTTTGACACTTCTGAATCGTGCCAGAACCCCGTTCTTGGGACCCCGGCATCGCGAGTCCACGTGACTGCTGCGGTGAGAATTCTAGATCGTGCCAGATAACAATTCCTGGGACTTCGATCGTACGAACCCTTGGCATTGCTGCGAACCTTCAAAACGAAGTTGCGCGGCGCTAAAGCCACAGCCCCCGCGCATACGGAATATCTTTGCAATTGTCCGGCATGTGCCCGTATGTGCGGGGGGGCAGTGGCGTCCGCATTGCCTCGCGCAAGCGTGCGCAAGTGGGTGTGCAACGACTGTGCGGCATGGGAGGTCAAGAAAACAGAAAACGTAGGAAATAATGGATTTGAAATTCGCAGTAGAGATAAGCTCCATCTACCGATCCCAGATCCTGCTATGCATGCGTCACGCAAATAATGTAACCGCCGTTCCCACCATCGGTTTATAGATAGATTTCGCCTGTGGCAGTTATCGGGCCTCTTTGTTCTTCCCCAGTCGAGCTCCATGTTACGGTGGGGCAATCACGGGAAAACCAATGGACGGCCGCGTGTGAACCACAGGACTACCACGGGACAGTACTGAACAACCACGGAAGTAGCGTGGGACAACCACGGGACAACAACGGGGCAACCACAGGACGATCACGGGACAACCACGGAACAACCGTGATACACCTCAGATCAATTCGGGAAAAGCGCGGGACAACCCGGGACCCACCGCTTGCCGCCAGGGAGCAAGACATGATGGTACCCTGACCTCTCTCGCGCCCGCGCGCAGCTTCGCCTCGCCTGCATGCGCGTCACGCACGACACGAGCCAACGCCGAAACGGAATTCCAGGTTCGGGGGCTTCGCCCGGGCTCGATCTGACCATTTCTTTCGGACTGCAGCTAGTTTGGACCAGTCACGCAAGCGCGCCGTCGCTGATGGGTGCAGGTTTGGTTGCGGCAGTCTGTAGGTGTTATGTCGTCGCCCGCCATGCCAGGCGACTATCGCGAGCATTTGCGGGAAATTTTGTCGACGCGTCCTGACATCAAACCTGCTGAGATGTTCTCCGTGCTTCAATCGGCCGGTTTCTCAGATATCTGAAGGGCTGCGCCCTCTGCCGCCAGCCCCGAGGCTGATGCTCTTGCTGCCAAGTGCCCTGAGCGCCCAACAAAGCAGACGGCAGCAGGGGCTGAGTTCGGGCGCGCTCGGGTCGTCCAGCTCCTCCGAAGACTGTCTTGGGGACCTCTCCGGGCCGTCTCGGGGCCCTGCTGTCCTCTACGGCGCTAGGGCAGCCATAGCAGGGGTGCTCTGCCGTCCTGAAGAGCTCTCGGGCCGTCTTGGGGCTGTCGTGGACTCGGCCTGGGTCGTCTCGGGGCCCTCCTCCTGGGCGGTCTCCTGGGGCAATCTCGGGGGGGCCCGTGGGCCGTCTCGAGCCGTCGGCAGCCCGAGACGACGAGAACACGAACATCATGCTTGGGCCCTCTTGGAGCGGTGTCACGGCACGAGGAGGAGGAGGAGGAGGAGGAGGAGGAGGAGGAGGAGGAGGAGGAGGCTGGATCAGGAGGATGGATGAGGAGGAGAATGGAGGAGGAGGAGGAGGAGGAGGAGGAGGAGGAGGAGGAGGAGGAGGAGGATGGAAAAAAGAGATAGAGAGGAGGAGGAGGAGGGAGAAGAGGAGAGGAGGAGGGAGGAGGAGGAGGAAGGAGGAGGAGGGCGTGGGAGGAGGAGGGGAGGAGGAGGGGGAGAGAGGAGGAGGAGGAGGAGGAGTGAGAGAGGAGGTGGAGAGGAGGAGGAGGAGGAGGAGAGGAGGTGAAGGTAGGAGGAGGAGGAGGGAGAGGAGGACAGGAGAGGATGAGGAGGAGGAGGAGGAGGAAAGGAGGAGGAGAGGAGGAGGAGGAGAGGAGGAGGAGGAGGAGGAAGGAGGAGGAGAGGAGGAGGAGGAGGAGGAGGAGGAGGAGGAGGAGGGGGAGAGGGAGGAGAGGGTGAGGGAGGAGGAGGAGGAAGGAGCAGGAGGAGGAGGAGGAGGAGGAGGAGGTGGAAGGAGGAGTTCGTGGGGCCCTTCTGCGCCAGCCCCTGGGGCACCTCGGGGCCCTCTCTCGGGCCGCCTGCGGCCCTCGAGGCCCTGCCCGGAGCTGCCCGGGGGGGGCCCCCCATGCAAGGCTCTCCGTGGGCCCTCGGGAGGGGAAAAAACACACAGACACAAAATTAATCGCCAATTCGCCAGAAAACATGGGAAAATATGGGAAGTGGGGGGGGAGACAGAAACCCAGAAAATGTGGGAAGATGTGGGGAATCCTTGTATTTGTGCGTATTTATTCGTGTGTCCCAGGGCCCCTTCAGGCCCTCCGGGCTCCGCGGTGCTGCCCGGAGTGGCCACGATGTGCTGAGCCCCCTCCCCGATGTCGTCTGCTCGGCGCGGTGGGCCCCCCCCCCTTGTCCCGCGGTAGGCACCCGGGTGGAGATCGGGTTGAAGGGACAAGAGTTCAGTCGGGCCTGTCCCTCCACAGGAGGGACATTCAAAAATAGTCTGGGGACCATTTCTTGGCTGTTTTTTTTGAGTATTTGGGATTTATGTTTGGGGTATTTTTCATTTTTCGTCCAAAATCCCCCTGTAGGAGGACAGGCCCGACTTAACACAAGAGACGTAAACACTCAGAGCTCCGGCCACCTTTCAGAGATGAGAGACGAGAGATGCACCTTCCAGTCGCTCGCATTTGCTCGCTCAGCCTTCGGCCGCCCGTGCGGGGAGTATCGGACAGGGCGGAGTTCTATCGAGCTCGTCTGCCCTTTTTGTTTTTGCTTGTTCTGTGTAAGACCGTGCCTCTCGCTGACATCATGCCTCATATACACACCTGCCGGCCGAGACAAGTAAACAACACACAACGCAAAGGAAACGAGGCAGCAGGCCCGCAGCTGGCAGGCTTCGCAGCCTGGCGCCGCCACAGGGGCTGGCGGATCAACAAAGCTGCCATCAAGCATGCTATGGCCAAGGCAAGACGGCTCGATGGAGGGGGCCATGCCGATGTTGGAGTCACATCTGAAGGAGCCAGTGAGCTGCCTGGCTACGTTCATGGCTCCTCAGTCGTAGGTGCGCTTGTGGAGATCCGGGGGCTGGAGAGCAAGCCAGAGTTGAACGGGCTGACGGCTCGGATACTGTTTTTCGACTTGGACTCGGGTGCATATGCCGTAGAACTAGTGGAGGCCAATGGGGCTGACCTTTCTGGAACGGAACAGCGCGCACCTGTGCAGCTGAAGCTCGTGGCAGAGGCGTGCCATGTTCTCCCAGACGGTGATGACAGGATGCCCTCGCCGCGACCGCTGCCCCATTCCGACCCCTCCCCTCTCCCGTTCTCATCCCTGTGTGGGGGGGTCGAGCGAGGCAGTCGCCCCCGGACGTCCGACGTCCCGATGTTGTTCGAGACCCGGGCCCCGCTTCGCCCGACCATTGTCCTCGAGGCCAGATTTTTGATCCCGAGCCGTTTTGTTGACGGCCCCGAGGCCCGACGCATTTGTAAAAAAACGTCCGCCTCGATGTCCTTCGAGACGCCCGACGCCCTAGGTCTGGAGGACTCGGGAGGCCGAGCCGAGGGACGAGGAAGCACGACAGGCTCGGCCCGCCCCCATCCCGTGGGGCTGGGAGTACGAGGGTCGGGCGTCGAGGCCGGGCCCCGACCCTGCCCGGGCCCTTGAGGTCTTGAGGGATGAGGGGGGACATACGGAAGAGGAGGATGAGGAGGAAGGAGGAAGGAGGAGGAGGAGGAGGAGGAGGAGGAGGAGGAGAAGGAGGAAGGAGGAGGATGAGGAGGAAGGAGGAAGGAGGAGGAGGAGGAGGAGAAGGAGGAGGAGGAGGAGGAGGGATGAGGGATGATGAGGAGGAAGGAGGAGGAGGAGGAGGAGGAGGAAGGAGAAAGGAGGAGGAGGAAGGAAGAGGAGGAGGAGGAAGAGGAAGAGGAAGAGGAAGAGGAGGAAGAAAGGAGGAGGAAGAGGAGGAGGAGGAGCATGAGGCGGAGGAGGAGGAGGGGGGGAAGGGGGAGGAGGAGGAGGAGGAGGAGGAGGAGGAGGAGGAAGAAGAAAGCCAGTGTAGGCCCACGAACCATCAACGATGTTGGAATCAACTCTTCCTCCAAGCTCCCTCTTCATACGCCCCTACAAGGGTTCATTTCCAGTGAACTGCCTCATTGGAAGACAACATTTTGAAGACCCTGATGCATGCCTCGGGATTCCAACGCCACTGATCGACCTGACTGTTGCGTCTTGGCGATCCTGAGTCGCGCCAGAACGCCATTCTTGGGACTTCAACACCGCGAATCAACATAACTGCTGCACCCTTATAACCCGGAATAGTTCCCAAACTCCATGTCTGGTACGCTGATCATGGGAATCCACGAGCCCCCTGCAACTTCGAAAAACGAATGTGCGCGTCGCTAAGGCGAGAGCCATATGTTGTAAAGGAGCCGCCTTCAATCCGTGGAACTCTGGCAACTGTTTTAAACGAATGCGCGCGGCACTACAGCGGGAGCCACAGTTTGAAGACCACCCGCGCTCCATCCGTGAAGCTCTTGCGAAGTTGAGAACAAAACGAATGTGCGCGGCGCTGCGGCGAGAGCCACAGTTTGAAGACCACCCGCCCTCAACCCCCGCGAAGCTACATGTTTAAAAAACGAGTGTGCACGGCCGCCCTCCATCTGTGAAACGGTTGCCAATGTTCAAGCTTCGGGGTCACTAGTGGTGAGGAAGTCTCAGGCGAAACGCCCAGGCCGCCCGGAAAACTTGCCCCGGGGTGCGAAAGGGAGACATGATGTATAAGGACAAGGCATGGAGGAGGATGAGGAGGAGGACGAGGAGGAAGTGGAGGAGGAGACTGAGGAGGATGAGAAGGAGGAGGAGGAGGAGGAGGAGGAGGTGGAAGGAGGTAGGATGAGGAGGAGGAGGAGCAGGAGGAGGAGGAGGAGGAGGAGGAGGAGGGCTCTGAGGGCTCTGATGATACGAGTCTCCCCTTGAGACCCCTGGCGCACAGGCCACGCCAGGCCGATGCCTAGCAGCGAAACGCTTACTGAGGGCCGAGCCTATGCCCAGCCTCTAGATGGCGCCAGGCCGATGCCTGGCGCCTGCAAAACTGGGCGGGACGCACGCTAACCTAGGCCAGAGCCAGCTCAGCGTCACACCTGGGGCGAAGCCCGCCCTAGCATCCCACTACTGGGACGCCTGGGCGAGCGAGAGCCTGAACACGAACGACTTGATGGCCAGCAGCGCCATGCGCATGGCCTCAGGCGTGCTGGCTGCGTCGAGCGCGTCCTGGAGCCTCCTGCCCTCAAGGAAGTCCTCCAATGAGAACTCCAGGTCGTCCCCCGCCTCGAGGAGGGACGGGAAAGCTGGGAGGGCAGGCAGCTCCTGCTCTGTCTCTGTATGGTCGCGATCGTCACGACCCTGGCCCGCGAAGGCCTGGCTACGTCCACGCCCGAGGTTCACTTGGCCTCCACCAGGGTCCTCAGGCGCCTGAGCCGCACCAGGCTCTCCTCCGCGCTGGACAGGGACTTCTCGGCCTGTTGGATGAGCGCCTTCACCCTGTGGCGCGCCTCCTCCGTGCCCGTGTGCAGGGCGGGCTGCAGCGACTGGATCCACTCCTGCAGGTTGTCCTTGGTCGTCTGCTGCTTGCTGGCCATTGCATCGATGTGCTCCAGCTGCGAGCCCTTGTCCGCCGTGTTCAGCAGCTCCTCCTCTGTCGGCTCGCTGAGCTCCATCGCCGTGGCCTGCTTCCCCAGGAACTTGCGTTTCAGCTTGAACTTCTTGAGGAAAGAGTTCTTCCGCACCGTCACCTTCGGACAGGTCGAAGAACTCGCAGCCGTGGCCGACACCAGCTGTTTCTTGGGAGGCTTCGAGCGCTCGAACTCCTCCCTGTTGGCCTTGCGGATGGCCGCCATCTGCTTCTCCCTCCGGAGCTCGCGGCGCCACTGGCCTGCCGCGGCGCGCGCGTGCGCCTCCGCGGCCGCGGCCACGTCCGCGACGCTTGCCGCCGCCGGCAGGCGGACGGGGGCACCGATGAGCTCGAAGAGGAGGTCGAAGCTGCCCAGCTCCACCGGATCCTCCTCGTCAGCTCCGTGCTCTGCAGGGGGAGCCTGGAAGAGCACCGCGCAGCAGTCGGCCAGGTGGTCCAGCACCTCCGCGCCGCAGCGACGCAGCTCCGCCAGCGCCACGCCGCCGAGGCCGCGGGGGTACACGCCCACCGTGGTCGGGACCACCGCGTCGGGGCCTCCTGGTTCGGCGGGCGGCACGCCCGCGGCGAAGGCGCCCTGGCACAGGGGGCACCCGCACGGCCGCAGTGCCGGGTCCTCTGGCTCCTGCGCGGGCAGGCCGCGCTCCGGCGCGAAGAGCAGCTGGCAGAGGCCGCCGGCGTCCGCGCCGCCGCCCCCGCCGCCGCCCGGCGGGCCCGCCATGCCGCCGCTCGGCGGCGCCCTCCGGGGCAGGCAGGCGGTCCCGCTCCCGGCTGGCTTGAGCCAAAATGGCTACGGAGGAGGAGGAGGAGGAGGAGGAGGAGGAGAAAGAGCAAGAGGAGGAGGAAGAAGGGAGGCAGGAGTGGGAGGAGGAGAGGCTACTGTGGAGGAGGATGGGAGGGGGAGGAGGGGGGATTTGAGTGGGCCGGAGAGAACGGAAGGAGAGAAAGGGGAGAGAGTGGAGGAGGCGGCGGAGGAGGAGGAGAAGGATGAGGAGGCGGAGTGGGAGGAGGAGGAGGCGGGAGGGAGGAAGGGGGGGACGGAGAGAGGAGAGAGGGAGGGGAAGGGGGAGGAGGAGGAGTAGAGGAGGAGGAGGAGGAGGAGGAAGGAGGAGGAGGAGGAGGAGGAGAGGAGGAGGAGGAGGAGGAGGAGGAGGAGGAGGAGGAGGAGGAGGAGGAGAAGCAGCAGGAGGAGGAGGAGGAGCAGGAGGAGCAGGAGGGAGGAGGAAAAGGGGAATGGAAGGGAAGAGAAGGGAAGCGAGAAGGAGCGAGGAGCGAGGAGCGAGGGGGATGCCATGGGGGAGTGGGTTGGTGGATGCAGCAGGGGTCTCCTCGATTCCAGACTGCCAGACACCGAGAGCAAGGACCGCGCGGCATTTCTTATTCGAATGGTCTGCACCAATCCGCCGGCCTCCGAGTGGTCGTCGGCGTCGGCGTCGAAGTGGTGACGATGATGGCGATGTTGATGGTGATAAGGAGGAAGAGGGGGAGGAGGAGGAGGAGGAGGAGGAGGAGGAGGAGGAGGAGGAGGAGGAGGAGGGGGAGGAGGAGGAGGGGTGGGGTGCTGTTGTTGTTGTTGTGCTGCTGCTCCGGCTGCTGCTGCTGCTGATGATGAGGATGAGGATGAGTATGAGGATGAGGATGCCGATGATGATAATGGTGATGCTGACAATGATGCCGATGAGGATGATGATGATGATGTTGATGATGAGAATGATGATGATGATGATGATGATGATGATGATGATGATGATGATGATGATGATGATGATGATGATGATGATGATGATGATGATGATGCTGATGCTGATGTGATGATGATGATGATGATGATGATGATGATGATGATGATGATGATGATGATGATGATGATGATGATGATGATGATGATGATGATGATGATGATGATGATGATGATGATGATGATGATGATGATCCCCCCTCGGCGGACGGCGTGCGTCGCACAGCCCCCGCTCTGGGCAGGGGGAGGCACCCAAGCCCGCGATGCAACCTGGACCCGCACGACAACTGGGAGCACCAGGGCAACCAAGAGCCGCACGGGGACAACGGCACCCCTTAGGCAAGCCTAAAGGGCCGCTGCCCGCCCAGGAGGCACCACGGGTTTAGGCCCCACCCCTACCCCTCGCGCCCGAAGCAGCGCCCTCGCCCCGCTCGCCGGACGCCGCGGCCTCGCGCCGCTCTCGGGAGCGGCTCCGCGGCCGCCCTCGGCCTGCCAGGCGGGCGGGCTCCCCCAGCACCGCGCTTCTCGTTGGGTGGAGCCCTCGTCGGAGACGGCGCAGCCCCTCCAGCTGGCGCTCCGACGCTCGGCGCAGGCAGGGCTCGGCCAGCCCCATCACGCGCGCCGAGCCAGCGTTGCAGCCGCACACGTTGCAGAAGACCGCCGGGCCCGCCTGCATCAGGATGTGCGAGTCGTGGAGCGCCGCGTTCCACCAGGCTGGCTGCCCGACGGCTGCTGGGCCGACAACGGGGGCCTCCGCTCCAGCGGCGCGCGCCTGGCCCCGGCCTCGGCCTCCGCCACGACCGCGGCCTCGCCGTCCTGGCCCTGGCGGGGCGGGGGGCGGCGGAGGCGCCTCGGCGGCGGCTGACACCTCCGCTGCGGCGGACCCTCCGGCCAGCGTTCCTCCTGGGCTGGCAGCGCCCGCCCCCTGCCTCGGCGGCCCCTCCTCGCGGGCGGGCTCACCCCCGCCGCCGCCCTCAGCCTCTTCGCGAGGGCGTGCCGCCAGCGCGGCGGCCGCCAAAGCGAGGACGGCTGCTCCCGTCGCTTCCCGCGCCGTCGCCCGAGCCTCCGCTGCGGGCGGCCACTCGGCCCCCCTGCACGGGGGTGCCAGCGGCGGCGCAGACCCAGCAGCTCCAGCAGACCGTCTCGCCCAGCAGCAGCGCCGTGCCATGGCGGTCGCAGGCGCGGAATGCGCAGTTGGGCCCGCCGACCCCGCAGGCTGCCATTGGGCGCTGTCGGCAACCCGCCCATGCGCACCTGATCGCCTCAAGGCCAGGCGCCTCGAAGCCGTCGGCCGCCCGCAGCAGCGAGTCGCCCTCCTGCATAGCCTCTCCCAGCCAGTCGGAGACGCCTTTGGCGAGGCTCTCCGCGAGGTCCACCATGTCGAGCCGCGCCTGCGGGACGCCGTGGAGAGCGGCTCCCTCCTTGGCTCGGCTGTCTGCCCTGGCGTTGCCCGCGCGCTGTCTGTCCGTGATGAGGCCGTCGCGGACGCGCTGCTCCGTCGCGTGCGCCTTCACCTTGCAGACCCGCACCATGGTGACGCCGTAGTCCTCGACGAGCTGCCAGAACTGCACCCACAGCTCGCGGTAAGGCCGCCCCCACTCCAGACACCAGCGCTTGCCGGAGGCCCAGCCGTCGTGCACCATCGCCGAGTCGGTGTAGAGGACGAGCGGCCCGATGCCGCCTCGCAGGGCCTCCACTGCCGCCTGCAGCTCCCCGGCCCCGCTGTCCTGGGGGAGCGGCCAGGCCACGTTGCCCCGCGCCGAACTGCGCTCCGAGTCGTCAGCCCCCCACGTCGTGACCGCCGCCCAGCCCGCGCGCGCCAACACCTTGTCCCTGGAACGGAAGGCGGAACCGTCAAGGAAGACCTCACGCTCGAAGACGGACCCTGGGTGCGTGCCCGACCGCCTCACCAGCGTGTGAGCGAAAGGCAACGGCGCCCCTGCTCGCGGGTCGGGCACCAGCCCGCGCGACCAGATGTGGTGCTCCTGGCCTGTGTCGGGCTCCGCCCTCTCCGCCTCTTGCAGCAGCTCGAAGCTGGTCCCGTCTGCCTTCTGCTGCCTCCGCGGCCCGTCGAGTGCTGGGCAGCGCCAAGCCAGGTGTCGGACCGTGCCCGCCTCGTCGCACCCCCACGGGCAGCGGGCCGAGGAGGCGAGCGGAGGGGTGGCCCGCGCTCTCCGCGCGACCGGCCACAGGCAGCCCACCAAGGCGTTGCGTGCCGAGGAGCTGCAGGCCGCCAGCCTCGCCGTCTTTCTTGGACAGGAAGCCGCAACGAATGCTGGCGACGGCCCCGCCGCCTCGCAGAGCCTCCAACTCTTCATGATGGTCTGCCGCGTCACGCCAAAGCTGCCTGCGCAAGCCTGCCTCAACGATGCCCTGCAGGGTGTGGCGGCTGCTGGCCATGAGATCCACCTCGCGGCCGAGGTCGTCCCGCAGCGTCCGGACTGAGGCCATGCGTCAGCCGAGCCGCGAGCACGCAAGCAGCAGGGCGCCCGCGGGGCCCGACCCGAGGAGCTTGGCCAGGCCCCCCTCCTGGGCCAAGCGCTGCGCGCCCACGAAGGCGCTCAGGATGGCGCGGCGGTCCTCCAGGCGCTCGGCCAATTGCAGAGCCTTCGCCCACGCGTCCAGCGGCTGGAAGGCGTGCTGGAACAGGGGGTCGTGGCGGACCGACTCCGAGACCAGGAAGCTCAGCGCAACCGACCTCCCAGGAGCGCTGCCGAACAGCATGGCGGCGACCGTGCTGCGCCACGCCTGCAGCCTCCGCTCTGTCCAGGCCATGGCCCCGCAGCCGTAATCCGCGGCTGGCAGCGAGCCGCTGATGACCAGCCGCTTGGCGCAGGGGATGTGCCCTCGCCTCACCTGCAGCACGCGGTCCACCTGCTCCGTCGCCTTCGCGAGTCGGCCGGCGGCGACCGCCGAAGCGCCCGAGGCGGCGCCGTAATCGATCCCGAGGTTCCGCGCCTCCGCTGACTGCTTCAGCTCGCCCTCGTTGATGATGCCCACCAGCGCAGCGCGGAGGGCGGCCGTCGTCGCGAGCACCTCGGATTTCGATCGCGAGACGACGCAGCCCATGTCCGCCTCCAGGCCGCGGATGAAGTCGCCCGCCGCTCCGCCGAGGAAGTGGGCCACCTTCCAGAACTCGCCCGCCATCCGCAGCGAGCAGTCGTCGAACATGATGGCGCAACTTACCTCCTTCCAGCGGCGGCGATGTTCGGCATCCAGGACCATCATGGCGCACCTCAGGAGCCTCCCCGCGTGGCTGCAGCCCGCAATGAGGCCACTCGAGAGGTAGAAGCACTCCGAGCTCACGACCCCGTCAATGACAAGGTGCCGCGCGCCCGAATAGACGCAGATGGCGGCCTGCACCAGCTGCTCGGGATAGCCCATGTCGAGCCCCCGCCGCTGCGCCATCGCCAGGCTTACCACTTCGTAAGCCTTCCAGAGGTCTAGGAGCACGCAGCCTACCGAGAGGCCCTGTGCACGGCTGGCCTCGTTGTGCAGGGCCTGCCACCAGACGGCCTCCGCCGAGGCACGTCCTTTCCCTCCCCAGAAATTGGCCGCCGCCTCGGCGGGGATGGCCTCCTCCCAGGCACGGGCGTCGCGAAGGCGGACGCGGCTCCACCAGCGAGGCAGCCGCTGGAGGAGGCCGATGGGACGCCAGCCTCCGCCCTGCTTGGCCAGCAGGACCACCAGCCCGCCGACCACCGCCTCCGGCAGCGTGCCTGTGGCCTCCGTCGCCATGCAGAGGGCAATGAGGCACTCCATGAGCTGGTCGGAAACATGCACCAGCTGCCTCGGATGGAACTCGTCTGCGCCGAGGCCGAGTCGCCATCGGAAGGAACGAGCCGCCCGCCTGCCGTCCTCAACCGTCGGCCTGGCGAGGGGCGGTCCGAGCGGGGGGCGCACCAGGGCTGGCCCAGGGGCGAAGCGACGGCCCTCGGCGGGGCGGCTGAGCCTCGGGGGGGCGGCCGCTCCTGCCGTGCGCGCCGCCGCGGGCGCTGCGGCGGCCCGCAGGTCGGTCGGGCCCCAGACCGCGCCTGCGGGTCGTCCGTCGTCTGAGCGGTTGCCGGAAGCGCGGTCCGGCAACCCAGCGCCGCGTGGGCCCCCGACCGCGCCTGCGGGGCGCCCGTCGGCCTGCCCGACAGCACCGCTGGCGCGCCCGGCGGCCGGGCCTGGGAGGTTGCCGGAAGCCCGGTCCGGCAACCCAGCGCAGGGCGGGCCCCCGACCGCGCCTGCGGGGCGCCCATCAGCTTGGCCGGCGGCGCCGGAGTCGCGTCCTGCGGCCAAGCCAGGGCGGTTGCCGGAAGCGCGGTCCGGCAACCCAGCGCTGGTCGCGCCCCCAGCCGCGCTTGCGGGGTGCCCATCGGCGTGGCTGGCGCCCCCAGCGGCTCGCCCAGCGGCCTGATCTGGGAGGTTGCCGGAAGCCTGGTCCGGCAACCCAGCGCTGGGCGGGCCCCCGACCGCGCCCGCGGGGCGCTCGTCGGCCTGCCCGGCGGCCCCGGCCATCGCGCGGAGGCTGGCGGCGGCTGCGGGCGGGCCGTCGGGCCCAGCCTTATCTGGCGGGCTATCCGCAGGCGGCCCGACCAGGTCGATGATGCAGTCGGCCCACGCCGCCCCCGCGCTGCTGCGCACTCGCCGCAAAGCCTCCGCGCT